TTTTTTTTTTTTTTTTGCCCCAGAGTGCACATTTATGTTGAAAATAGCTGAAAATGGCCAAAACTCCATTTCCCCCCCACCAATCTTCTCCTCCCCAAACACACACAAAGATGGAGGGATGTCAAATAATACTAAAACGAGTCTCTTTTTTTGCGTTTGACAGCCAACAAAATAAATAACATTAAGTCCAAATGGAACAAAACATAAAAAAAACAAGGGAAGTGACGCGTAAAAAGCACAGGACCCTTGTGTTTTCCTTTTTTTCTTTGTGAGAATGAATATCTCTCCCTTCACAATCTCGTGGCTATTGAGGTCTTTTACACAAGTGCAACAAAATGCAAAAGAAAATAACAAATTCTTCAAATGCGGATAAATAAAGGACGGACAAATTCACATTAAAAATGAGTAACACGTGTTCATAATACCCTGTTTGAGTTGAAAACAAGATTTTCAAAAAGGAAAGGTTAAATAGGTCTAGTCGTACTAAGCTGYGCGCACCCCTCCCTCCCGCTATCTCTAGATAAAAAAGGTCCTCGTGAGACAATGACAACAAGCAAATAGAAGAGGAAAAATCCAAGCAAGTCGTGATTATTTATCCTACTGCTACTTCACACATCAAACTATAGAGGGAACAGAAAAGTGGGGGAGAGCAGAGGAGAAGGTTGGAGCCGTGAGGAGGCGCAGAAACAAAGCAGGAAGTATGTCTGGAGGTGGATGAAGACAATGGGGCGGAGTGATCCACTGCTACAGATGCGTCAGTTTGGGCGCTTCCTGGATTCTTCCCTGAGAGTAGTGCGGCGTTAGGTCTGTGTAAGTCGGCGTGGGGTCACACACTCCGTGGTGCTGACTGTTGCCCATTGTGATTGCTCCGTTGTACTCCATGTTCGCGGACGGCGGGTGCGGGAGGTGGGTCAGGCCGAACACCGACGCGCCGGAACTGGAGTCGATGTAGCCTCCGCCGACATAAACGGGGCTGCCTTGCATGTGAGTCCCATAGTTGCCATTGCCGTGAAGCGGGTGCGCGTCATACTCGGGCGTGGCCGAGTCTGAGCCGGGGTACCTCTTCTGGGAGGGGGGGCAGTTGTTGAGGGAGCTGTTCAAAGGAGGGGGGTATGACGTCGCCATGTATGCATTTTGATGAGGTTTGTTATAAGAGGTCGGCGACTGGGATTCGTATGGTACACTGTTCACCAAAGAATGCATAGAACTGAGGTATCCGCCTCCCCCACCKCCGCCGCCGCCGGAGGCAGGGCCCACGGGACTCCGCGGAGACTGTCCACCAGGAGAAGGCATCATCCCGACGCCTTTCTGGTCCTTTTTGTACTTCATCCTGCGGTTCTGGAACCARATCTTGATCTGTCTCTCGGTGAGGTTCAGCAGGTTGGCCATCTCCACCCTCCTGGGCCTGCAGAGGTACCGGTTGAAGTGGAACTCCTTCTCCAGCTCCACGAGCTGCGCGCTGGTGTAAGCTGTCCGGGCCCTCTTTGACGCCGCTGACCCCGGAGGGCTCTTGTCTCCGGGACAACTCTCCACTGTCGGAGAGAAGGAGAAGAGGGTGTCCGTCAGTAATCCATTACAGACACGCACACACAGAGGCTTACAGAAAGACAGCAGTGTGAGAGTGGCAACAGAATCCTGTGACAACACATCCGCTGATATAAACCCCACTGTCACGAGGAGGGGGTGGTGCAGAGAGAACTGCATAAAACATAAAATAYGGTCATTAAAATGGTGCTTTTTTTAAATAATCGACTTTCTCTTCTTCTTCTTAACCCATTAACATGTGCTGCAAACACCTCAACGTTCTGATGAATCTACTCCTAACACAGGGGTTATCATCAAGGGACACTTAACAATCAATGCGCCGTGTGCGCACTAGCTGCAAAACACAGAACGCGCCTGAAGAATACTGGGTCAGTATCTGATGTGGATCCGCGTGACCTCAGGTTTCCTACTAAAGCATTTTGACCCTTTTCCTGCCCTGCAGTCACGCGGTAGCATAATGCAAGCAAAGCTTTATGGATTCCTCAGGGTGTGTGTGAGAGAGGGAAAGAAAACGGCTCGTCCTGCCCTCACTGATAAGCTTGAAAGAACTGGATCTTGGCTGCAGAGGAGCAAGACTGGTCTACTTACCGCTGTGGCAGGCAGCCAGTACTTAATAAATTTCACTACCTGTCTCCCAAACGTGAGGCAAAAGGAATGCAACATGACATAACCTGACCTGATATTGCACAAATGAAATGGAAGCTAGCACGTGGGTTTGAAGAAGTCATTTAGGGAATAGTGAATGATTATTTATAAATGAAATAAAAGCAGCTGCGTGGCCTGAATTGCGTAAAAATAACAAAACTTTCATTATTTGTAAGATAATCGTCTCAGTGTGGCAAACTATAACATAATTTTCTATAAATCACATCGTAAACTCCTTTGTTAAGCTCTTGTTAGCAAAATAAAAACTCAATCCCAATGAGCACAATCCTGACCAAGACGCTTAAAGTGTGCGTAAAATCTGTGCAACGTGTGCGTAAAGGCCTCCACCAAAGGATTTGAGCGCACAAATTGATTTTTATTTAAAAGTCATGACGTAATAATGTCAGGCTGCTTTATTAAAGATGAATATATGATCAAAAACCTATTTATTTGATAAATTATTGCATTCTGTTTCAAATTTGCTCTTTGCTTCCCCCCCCCCCACACACTTAAAGGATTGCATTGCATGGATCAATGTATTTACTGTCAAAAGCCTAATAAAAACGTCACAGTTGCGTTACATTTTATTGAATTGATGTAACTGTAGATGCTCTTTACAAGTTATGTCAAATTAGATTAAAAATACTAAAACATTAAAACTTTGCCTTTTCAAAACCAGTCAAATTTACCTTAAAACTTCTTAATTTTAAGGTCATGGGAAGATGAGCATTGTGTGTGTTTTAGGTTGGCTGTAAGTAAATACCCACCCCCCCCCACCCCCTGGCCCACCGACTTTCCCTCTAATCAAAACAGCAGGACAAACTGAAACAATTGTTGTGTRTGTTTGTTTGCTGTCTCTCTGGGAACATTATGTGATCAGTGGAGATGTGTGTTTACAGTAGGGACAGGTCAGCTGGAGGGCATGGGGACAACAAATGGAAGGAGCTGCACCCAATGAGGGACAACATTCTTCCAGTCAACTGCTTTAAACTGCATGTAAGGTGCATGTTGGTGGAGTATTAAAAGCATAAATAAAAGCTCAGTGAGGCCTGGACTATTTCATCCAACAGATCTAAAATGATGGAGAGAACTTAAACCTTTCTGCCACCTAACTGGAAACTCAACATTTCCAAGAATTGTTTTGTTGTGGTTTGCCCCACCTGCCCACCACCCACACATTTACAACTCTCCCTGAGCATCTGCGAATGTCATCAGCAGCGGTGAGTACCTGAACTGGAGCTACTGGCGGGTTTCTGCTTGGTGTTCTGACGGGATTCCTTCATCCAGGGGAAGATCTGTTTGCTGCGGCCACCGGAGGTCGGGGAGCTGTTCTTGGCACCGGCCTGGCTGGACCCGTTGCTGGCGTTTTGGCTGATAGCACCGGGGGATTGTGAGGAGGGAGGGGGCGGGCCCGACACCGGCCCCGGGGGTTGATTGCTTTCGGGGAGAACCTTGGACTGCGCCGCCTGAATGGCCGAGGTCCTGTCGCGGCCCTCCGCCATCTCGCCCGGCTTCTGCAGAGCCACGGAGCCGCCAGGAGACTGCAGGGAGCAGGCGGGTCGATGGTACTCACTTTCCACATGAGAGACCCGGGGATATTGGACCTGATTGGCATCATAACTGAAGCCATTTGCGCTTTGATATGGGTAGCCACTGTAAATTGCAGAGCTGTCGTAGTAGGTTGCCTTTTGCATCTCGCCGTTTCCCAATATTTATTTCAGAAACTGACAGGGTCTTGACACCCTTGTAGAATAACATTGGCACCCCGTGGTCACGTGACGCCTCTCCGCCAATGGCCTCCTCGGGTGAACCTAGGGTTACAAGAAGCACTGTGAGGAGGAGAAATGGTGGCGATCCATCTTAATTTTCAATACAGACCTGACACTGGAGACTGTGGAGGCAAGATAGGGCCAACAATTCTGCAGACTATTACCGTTTACCTTATGGCTTACACGAGGCACAAAGGCACGCACTAACCTTGTATTACCATCTGTGCCAAACAACATCAAACGTTTTCAAAAAGCATTCAAGTAATTTTAAAACAGACCAAGAAACAGGGTGACATTTTAAACCTCTGGGCTGGGACTAAAAATTGGAGGAATATAGTTACAGTACACTTTATGAGGAGATTGTTGTGTTTAAGAAAATAAAAAAGCATGTTGTGGAGAGGGCTTGTTAGCAGGTTGCCACGCAGAGAAAAAAAATGTTTCTGTTACAATATTATTCTACCAAAAGGACTGTCAACAGTAAATCTAATTTCCTGTGTTGCAGGTGAAAACAGTGTGTGTGGCCCGCACATTATGACCATTTTTAAAGTGTTTAAAAAACAAAACAAAACAAAAATCATGTTTTGACAGGTTAAACTCAGCTCCACTTTCTACCTGCAGCAAGGCAGGAAAAAACGCGTTTTTATTTTTCTTTTTCAGTTTTTTTTTCTGTGCATGTTGCAAGATAAATGAAAGGGCCTCAAGGTTAAAAAAAAAAAAAAGAACCAGAAAAACCGGGCTGGTTTCTGTGCATCTCCATGACCACGTCGTGAACCTATTTTCCCCTCGCAGGCTCATAATAATGGCTGCTGTTGGGTCGCAGACGCTGATGATATATGAGGGGCAGATTGGCGGGACTGGCTGCTTGGAAACAGCGGCCAAGGCCGGGACTGGGTGGACAGAAACCCGGGGAGGACGCAGCTAAGAACCCGCTTCAGCTGCTGGAGAACCGTAAATCAGCCAGGTACCAGCCGAAAAAGCTTAGTGCACAGTTTAACCACAAGAGACAGATTCACAAATCATATAGGGAATAGCCTTTATA